TATATATATATATTTATTTATATTTATATTATATTTATATATATATATATATATATATATATATATATATATATATATATAATATAAATATATATATATATATATATATATATATATATATATATATATATATATATATATTTATTTATATATATATATATATATATATATATATATATATATATATATATATATATATATATATATATATATATATATATATATTTTATCTTTGTATAATTGGTGTTATCATGAGAGGTCGTTGAGATACGTAAAAAAAAAAACGGATGCTCAACTTATATGTATATATATATATATATATATATATATATATATATATATATATATATATATATATATATATTACCTTTGTATAAATGGTGTTATCATGAGAGGTCGTTGAGATATGTAAAAAAAAGAAGAAAAAAGAAAGAAAGAAAGAAAGAAAGAAAAAAAAACGGATGCTCAACTTCATAATATTACAGCTACAGTAAATGCATTTTTAGTTTTCAATATTATCTTTATTATTATCATTAGTAATCATTACACTTATTTGTTTATTTTCATACATTCTTTCGACTAATTTTAGTCGTTATCAGCATTATCAGGAATATAATTCTTTTTTTCTCCTTTTCAATGAATTACTCTCTTTATTCAACTATACATAACCAGAAATGTCTTATATAGATACAGTAACAGATAATATTTTTTTTCTTTTTACTTTATCAACACTCGCAGTTTGATAAGTACATAAGACAAAGTCGTAGCAAGGCCACCCTGTGTGCTTTTAATATCTTCCGATGGCAAAACGAAACCGAAATCTGTAATATGTGTCTCAAGTCAGTTCTCAAGATTCACAAACGTTGACTGTTTACACCAGCGCAGACAATGCCTGTATAAATGCATCAGCTTATATATATATATATATATATATATATATATATATATATATATATATATATATATATATATATATATATATATATATATATATATATATTATGATTTGGTAAATCAGTCAACCAGATATTAATAACATATAAAGTATGGGTGATATACCTACATTACACTCGCATGTACTCACACACATACACACATGCATAGAGGGGGCAAAGAGTTGATAAATCACTGATTTCCTCAAACTGAACTCTTGCCTATCCCGAGATCATCGGTTCACCTGTTTAAAAAATACATTGTCAAATCCAAACTTCAGTGAAACTACGTTTAGTTTGTAAAACGTTTATTTGCTGGGAAATAACCAGATCATTTCAACATCATTCATTAAGATTATGCAAAGCAGTTGCCGTTCCTAGCAATAACAAAAGGTCGGAAATTTTAATACAGTCAAGCATCGACTAAAGACCGGCATATACAGCGTTCTTGTAAACACGTTGTGTTAATATTCTAAGATTCATAAATGTTATTTATTTGTAATGAGCAATGAAATGCATACGGATGATCGCAGATTCGAATGTTATATTTTTTCGATTCCCATTGCTATATTTTATTCATTATTAAGTATCATCAGCGTCTGAAAGTGGCTGGCGGACCAACGTAAGGCCAGATTAAACAGGTTATAATATCCGCATGATAATTTCATGGTAAGTGTAAATGACAACCTCCAAGGCCGGATGGTATACTCTGCACCTCAGCCCCAGCATCTGCCTCCCTGTACCAATTCCTGCTTGAGCCGACGTAGGTATTCGCACCACTTTGAGTTTTGACACTTCTGCGGCGGAAGTAAGCACCTACCCTCGAAAGGAGCCGCCGCATAAAAGGGCACGTTTTATTAGACGAACGAGAGAGATGACAGGCAGATGAAGATACATGGTTTATCTTGCCAGCACTCCACCCTTGGCACCCAGGAAGATGGGGTTTTCTTGGGCTCTCACATCTACCTGCAGCAATAAACCCATAAGCCAAGACCCCTTTCATTCACCTGCACTAAGGCCACCTTCTTTCATTCATGTTTGATGGCAAGCTCTTGGTTTACGTTCACAGTATGGATCTATTGTAGAGAGAAAAAAAAATATAAGGAAATTAAAAGTAAAACCAAAAATGTTTGTGATCGTTCAGATATAACGATCAACGATAACAAAGGAAAACTATTGTGATGCCAAAAATATCAGCAATAGTTACAGTAAGGAATAACAAAAGATAATACTAATAAGAATATTTGATTTATTGCCTGGTGTGTTATTGTGTAATCGTTATAAAATAGTTTGAAAAGTTTAAAGGAAAGAGTAGATTTCGTTCTGAGATAGATAACCTCTGACTCTCTCGTTACTAATTCTGGGGTGAAAACGAGCCCTAACCCGTTCCCACCCTTTTTTTAAGAAAAAAATCTTGTAATTCCAGTCCAAGAAATGTCTGGGATTGCCTGAGGATCTCGCTTGATAGGCTTACAGACCTCCAAATGACGACAGCTCCTCATATCAAGACAGAAAAGTAAAGTTTTCCTCCTATCTCCTTTGATACTTCCAGCAACTCTCTTGAATGC